GTCTGTGCGTACATGCATGTGTGTCTGCACGTGCATGTGTGTGTGCATGTGTGTATGTCTGCACGTGCATGTGTATGTGTGTGTCTGCACGCGCATGCGTGTGTGTGTATGTGTGTGTCTGTGCGTACATGCATGTGTGTCTGCATGTGCATGTGTGTGCGCATGTGTGTATGTCTGCACGTGCATGTGTGTGTCTGCACGCGCATGCGTGTGTGTGTATGTGTGTGTGCTGGCAGTGCTGAGTACAGAACACAGGGACTTATACATGCTGAGCATGTGCTCTATTGTTAATATTTCTCCCGGATGTTAAAGTTTCTCACTGGATGCCCTTTCTGTACAAATTTCAGTTCATCAGAAATTTTACTGTATGCACGAGGACTGCTGTCAATCTCTGTGCACACAGGTCCCTTGAAAGCTGTGCTCCCTGTCTGTTTACATCACTGACATCCCCGGCTCCAGCAGGCACTTGGGCGAATGTTTTAGGTGAATAAAAGGAATGGATATATTGACTTCAGAGTCATAGTTGTTTAGCCAGGTGTACATGTATGTGTGTGCATGCATGCATGTGTGCACGTGTGTGTTATTCCATTTTCACACAATGAATGAGTGGCATGATTTTTTTGAGATAGTATTCATTTGTTATCTTGGAGTGGAGTCTTAGAAGCTCAGGTACAGAGGTGATGATGACATTCACAGATCTCTGGATTGCTGATATAATGTCTGTGGTACATGTGCTGAAAGCAGCGGTGCTGAAATACCTTTGTCACCAAAATATGTTGTTTTTATTGGCTAGGTCGAAGAAACTTGTACATTTATTTTCCTATGGAGGCCTTGCTAACACGTCTGTCCCTTCAGTCAGTAAGACATGCATGCATTCCTACACCAGCAGGGGAGACTGGTGTGTTCCCAGGGAGCTGCTGTGGGACCTTGGACAGCACCAATCCTGAAATGTTTGCATGATGACAGGGCTCCAAGCTCAACCTTCCATCCCATGCCCAGATTTAGCTGATCAGATGGTGTCCCCAGTCCTCCCAGACAGGACATCATGAGGGGCTAAGAGGCCACACTAGTAACAGCACTCCAGAGTTTTGTGTTGCCAACTACTATGGGCCAGATGAGGGTAAGGAGGTAAAGGTGAGGTAGGGGATGCTTAATCATAGCAGGTTTTCCAGAAAGACTGCCTAAGGCCAAATATAATCAAGTGTAAACTTACTAAGTATGTTTGCACCGAAAGAATTCAGAGAAGGGAAAGTGACTGTGGTACTTTGAATGAGGTGGCCCCATTGTCCCCAGCTGACACTCTCCAGGTGGCACTATTTAGTAGGTGTGACCTTCCTTTTAGAAAATGTCGCTGGGAGCAAGGACTGAAGGTTCAAAAGTCACATGCCATTCCCAGTTTGCTCTCTCTGCCTCATGTTTGCCATTAAAGGTGTGAGCCTTCAGCTTCTACTCCATCTACTACGTCTGCTGCTTGCTTCTATACCTCCCTATCATGGATGGACTCATCCCTCAGGAACCATAAATCCAAACAACTCTTGCTTCTATAAATTGCTTGTCCATGATGTTTCATCACTACAATAGAAAGTAACTAATACATTGACCAAACAGGGTGCTGCAGGGAAATGATCATGAGCTATATAGGATGGTATAGTGGTTTGAATTATAATGACCCCCATAGGTTCATATATTTGAATGTTTGGTTAGAAAGGATTAGAAGGCATGGCCTTGTTGAGTGAGGTATGTCACTGGGTAGGCTTTGAGATTTCAGAAGCCCATGCCACGTCCAGTCTCACCTCATCTCTCTGCCTCCTGCTTGTGGATAAGATGTCAACTCTCCTCTACTGATCCAACACAGTGCTCATAACTCACCCTCTGCCTGTCTGCCTGCCCATGGCCATGCTTCACCACAGTGTTCATAACACACTCTCTGAAATCGTAGGCAAGCTCACAACTAAATGATTCCCTTTATAAATTGTGTTGGCCATAGTCTCTTCATTGCAATAGAAAAGTATCTAAGACAGAAGATAAGAAGAAATGGGAACGAGGGAGTGGGTATGTCTAATAGGGGGAAATGGGAATGAGGGAGTGGGTATGTCTAATAGGGGGAAATGGGAACGAGGGAGTGGGTATGTCTAATAGGGGGAAATGGGAACGAGGGAGTGGGTATGTCTAATAGGGGGAAATGGGAATGAGGGAGTGGGTATGTCTAATAGGGGGAAATGAGGAGACTAGAAAGGATGTGAGGAGAAGGCAGATGAGATGAGGATTATAAAGAATGAGAGTAAAACTTTTGGGTATATACCCAAAAGATGCTCAGTCATGCCACATGGACCTAAATGCCCCTCTACTGAAGAATGGTACATTTACACAATGGAGTACTACACAGCAGAAAAAAATAACAAAATCTTGAATTTTGCAGACAATGGATGGAGCTAGAAAACATCATATTGAGTGAGGCAACCCAAACCCAGAAAGACAATTATCACATGTACTCACACATAAGTGATTTTTAAACATAAAGCAAAGAAAATCAGCCCAGAAATCACAATCCCAGAGAACCTAGACAGCAATGAGGACTCTAAGAGAGATGCACATGGATCCAATCGCCATGGGAAGTAGAAAGAGACAAGATCTCCTGAGTAAATTAGGAGCATGGAGACCTTGGGAGAGGGGAGAGGAAGAGAGGGGAACAGCTCAATACAATCAATAAGAAAGAATGAGGGTGCAGATAAGATAGGGAAATGGGGAGGAGGAAATAAAGTGGGGAGACTTCTGTAAATGTAAATGGAGGGGAAGATAAGGGTGAAGATGGGGTGGGGAATGAAAAAAGAAGGATGAGGGGGCTTTGAGGAGAGAGAAGGAAGCAATGAAGCCATGGTGGTGCCACTGCAGATGGCAGAGGGTTGTATGGACTTCTATGTTCTCTACTTACCTGGGACCAGCACTTTATGGGATGCTAGTACCAACAAGGAGAATTCCCACAATTCAACATTAATAGGGTGATGCTTTCAAACATGATTGAATTGTAACATGAGCAAACCTAACAGACCCCTGAATAGCTTTTAATAATATTTTTATTTTTAAGAATTTAATACATTATAAAATATATTTTGATCATATCCATCTCATCAACCTTTCCCCAGCTTATCCAGGATACCTTGGCCCATCTCCTCTCCAATTTCATGTTTTCTTTTTTTCAACATCACTACCACCACCATCATCAGCCCCTGAGTCAAATTAATACTGACCACATGTGCCATGCACTGGGCATGTTACCATGCACTGGGCATGAGCTTATCAGCATCCATATCCCCAAAGAAAAGTGACTCTCTCTCTCTGCAGCCATCAACTACCAACAGCTTCACCACCACAGTGTGGCCTTGAGAGCCCTCTCCAATCCACGCTGGAATTTTGGCTGGCTTGATTTTTTGTAAGGCTTGTGTAAGCAACCACAGCTGCTTTGAGTTGATGTGTTCAACAGCGATGTAATTTCCAGAAGTCAGTATTTCATAACTTTCCTACTCATCCTCTGGCTATTGCATTCTTTCTGACCTCTCTTTTTTCTATGGTCCCTGAGCTTTGAATGGATGGAAATAGGTAGAGATGGCCCATCTACAGCTGAATAGTCATATTTACTTATTCTCAGTACTCTGACCACTTAGGAGTCTCTGTATTAACCACACTACCCATTGCAAAAAGAAGTTTTTTAATTAATCTTGAGAGCAGCACAAATCTATGGCAATAAGCATATTTAGAAGGCCATTTGAAACACGGCCATTTATTGAAACGCCAGTAGGTTATGGCTTATGGTCTCCCCAGTCATAGGCTCTTGACGAGGTTCACAGTACCAGACATGAAATCCCTCCTGTGAAGAAGACCTCTAATGCAGTAATAAAGTAGTTGGCTCCTCCATGATGATCATGTCACTATTGTATTAATGGATACAACTTGCCTAGCAGATTGGTATTGTAGTAAGATGCAAACTTTTTATGTTTCACTATCAGGGCCTCTTGTGGTCCAAGCTTGCTTCAGACTCTATGCAGTGAAGGTTGCCTTGAACTCCTGATATCCCAGCCTCCTAAGTCCTGGGATTGCAGGCATGTGCTACTGTACCTGACAGAAGTCTTTATTGTACCATAACCATGAGGTTTGATAACAGTAGCTATGTCTATTCTAGGACTTTTTGACAAAAATAAAATCCATTCTAAATGAATAGGTATATTCTCCATTTTCATACATGAGTTAGTTTTACCAAAAAGTACAGAATAAGCATGGCTTGGAACACGGAGGGTGGTACAGCCTATTCAGATATCCTGTGAGTGCCCGGTTTTCTCTCTTATGACCACACACACACACACACACAGAGAGAGAGAGAGAGAGAGAGAGAGAGAGAGAGAGAGAGAGAGAGAGAGAGCCCATTTTTATAGTGTCTCCAGTGGTTCTACAGCAGTAAGTATGGGTCTTCTGTCCCATATCTGGTGATTGCTTGGATGTTAGATTCCAGCCATGAAAGTTACTAACCTAAGTGTCAGAAATAAAAATTGCAAGGTCAGCCATGCTATAAGGAGAGACCCTCTGGGTAACTGATCATGTACTTTTGACGCCATGTGATTTTCCATAAGTCCATATGTGTGTATCCGCCTGGTCTTGCTGGGAAATGCATTTCCAGAAGACTGTCACATTCCTACTGCACTGAAGGGACCCCACCAGTTCCAGTCATATTGACCTTCCTTTTTCTTGGCCTTGGTGGTAGCCAATGCAGCTCCCTTTAAAATATTTCTTTACAAAAATCATCTTTATAATGACTTGTAAGAAAAGATAGGTGTTCACAAAGTGACGGTCCTTCTGGACTCCATGTGGAGTGGGATTACACAAGTGATCCTGCCTCCTGTCTTGAGCACTCTGCATATGTGAGAGTACAAACAGGAAGGACCTCAGAATGTCCTATTGCTCCATAGATTTGGCAAGCAGCTTACAGATGTGCTTTTATTTCCTTATAGATCACGTTTTATATTCTGGTGAAGGCCATTTATACCTTGGGCTACAGTGTTTCTCTGATGTCTCTTACAACAGGAAGCATAATTATCTGCCTCTTCAGGTAAGGAGCAAAACTGGGCAATTCTGTAAACAATAAGAAACCAGCAAACTTACCTATAGGATTTTTGGTACCTCAGAGGGTTAGGCCCCTGACTTGGAGCCCTTCCATGTGCCAAATGATAGATTGTTCTTGGGGCTAGAGAGATGGATTATTTGCTCTTGCAGAGCACTGGGATTCAGTTCCCAGCACCCATATTGTATCACACAACCACCTATCACTCCAATTGCAAGGAATCTCTTGCCGCTTTCTGGCCTCCGTGTCCACCCATACACACATGATATACATAAACTCAGTTACACATATGCACAAATATAAATAAAATAGGGTACCCTTGAAGAAACCTAGCAAGGAATACATTACTGGCAATTTTTGCCTAAACATTTCCCATTTCTTTTGTAAACAGGTAATGTTGCCCTTTAGTTCAGCAATCACTTATTAAACAAGTAGGTGATATACAAAAACATGGAACTATGAATACCGGATGATCTGTCCTTTCCCTTCAGAAGCTTCTGGGTGCTCTATGAAGATGTGTTGAATCTAAGAGCTTAAAGGGAGGAATCACACTGAATGGGTTCAAATCCTGTTTAGCCTCTTTGTATCTGTGTGACCTTGGACAAATTGTACAATCCCTACGTACATCTATAATATTATATATAATATAATATACTACTAATTGGGGCACTCCAAAGGGTCCTTGAATTTGAAGTGCTGCAGATTGGAAGGGCGTGGGTGGCACAAACCCAGGACAGGAGCCCTACAATCCTGTCTGACTGTTCTCTTTCTGGTAGTGAGGTCGGATGGTGCCCCATCACCGCCTGTTCAGGATGAGAACCTTGGTCCACAGGAGCATAAGTGGATACGCCTATGGGATGATTACACTGAGCACACTAGCATTTGGTGTGAGTCCCAGGGCTCCCATCACCTCTGTGTTCTCTCTGCTGAGGACAAGCACAAGTGTTGTGTATGTGAGAGAAAGTCATTGTCGACAGAAGGGACATTTCTGTCATCCACCAGTGAAGGAGCTGGGTATGCTGGAGGACACAGCCTCGAAGCTCCGCAACCACAGACAAGTTACACCGTTCCTCCTTCGGGATGTTAACATGACTGCTATATCACTATGTGTTAAATTATCTCTGTGTTCTAACATTCTTTTGAAGAGAAAACTGTTAAGAAATGATACCTAGAGAAATAAGCTGCTGTGGGGTAGCATGGAAAATATCTATTTCCCATCTTGAATAAGACATTCTCAAATCTCTGTCCCTTCGCATTTTACCATGTGGCATGGCCAGCCAAGCCAAAGGCCTTTGGAGCTTTGCATGGGTGATTTTGACCTTCCAGAGAACCTGCAATATTTTTTTTCATGGGTAGCCATACCATCTCTTAGATTTGAACATAACCCCCGCCCCCCATTTCAGAACTCTTCAGTTGAAAAGAGCCTTTGCCCTGCTAGTGCTCCAGGCACAGAAACTGGAGCTCAGGCACTTTGGGGGGCTTTTTATCTTGCACCTTTGATTCATGCCACCTCTTGTCTGTCAGAAGTGATGCTCAGTGAATATCCATGGAAAACTAAGTATAAGTCAATTCTAAGGTTTGTAATATGAAAACAGCGTGTTCTGGCATGTTCTGCTATTCTAATTTACCCAGAAAACAAAATTAGTTGTAGTTGCCAAACATTTAATATCCCTAATAAGCCTTTAGAAAAACAAAACAAAAAATATTGGATAACCAAGTACTTAACTGACACAGAGAAATGGGGCAGCTCATGTCCTAGATCAGGTCCCAAACTGTAGCATAGACAGACCGTGCTGGCACATGCAGGGTCCCTTTGTGCATTAGAATCAGCAGAATGATAGCTGTGATCTAAAACATGGCAGACAGCTCCTGCCAACAGAAATTGCTAAACTGGGCCTCATGGATATTTCATTCCATCCCACACCTTCATCCAATAAGAGAGTTTTACCACCCTGAATTTTAACAGGCAGAGTGAAGGCCAGCAGTTACTAGACACTTTAGGACTGAAGGGCTGCTGAGAGGAGAACAATGCAAACAGGTTATCAGCATTGTGATAAGTGCCACGTATCCACAAAGTCTGCTCTGGACATGTGGAGTGAGCCACCACAGCTCTACTCATCCAGGAGCCACACACTGTTGATATCTATCAGACCAAGCCTGGAATGACACTTGACAGTGACCTCTCAGTGATGTCCCACCCTGCAGCCCCACTCTATGGAAACTAGGGTGAGCAAGGAGGAAGGAAGGAACAACAAACACTAAAGGAAAGGACTGGGTATTTGGAAACATGAGAAGCAGGGGGCGGGGGTCATAATAACACTCACACGAGGAAGTGATGCTGAGGAGAGATGCCTGCTGTGTATACGCACCTGACCAGCAGGAGTCACGAATCCTGCTGCACAGAGCCAGCCATATATTTCATGTGCGGAACCAAACACATCTTAGTAACATAGACATTCAGTAAAAAGGATGTGTCCTCGCTCAACTTGTAACATGGGTAAATACAATAACTGGCTCGAGATGCAGGACGCTGTCTGAACCAGAAGCCCTCCATAGCTATCTTCGTCCATAACACCCTCTGCCCCAAAGGTGAGCAACATTCATTCATTACACATACACCACGCTTTCTTTATCCATCTACCTGCTGATGGACACCTAGACTGATTCAGACTAGTCACAATAAATACAGATGTGCAAGGGATTCTGTGCTGTGCTTATTTATAGTGTGTCGAAAGCTGTCCTAGTTTACCTGTGTTGCTGTGGAAAACAAAAACACTGACCAAAAGCAAATTAGGAGAGGAGACCCTTTGTTTGACTTAAACTCCCAGGTACAGTCCCTCACTGAGGAATGTAGAGTGAGTCTACATTCTAATTTTCTTAATAATAAAAACCCAGAGTCAGATATTAGGGGGTGAAAGCTGAAAGATCAGAGAAGCAAAGCAGCCAGCCACTAGTTCTTACCTCTATGAAATCCTCAGACCAGAAAGAGGCCGAGCTCCTGTCTCTTCCCGCCTTATATTCTTCTCCCTGCCCAGACATCACTTCCCGTCTGTCTGTACAGACCTTCAGACCTCTATGGTTAACTAGTAGCTAGCTCCACCCACTGATCTTTAGGCAAGCTTTATTTGTTAGAGTGCAGACAAGATTATCACCACAGAGGAAACTGAGAGAAAGAACTCAAGTTGAAAACTCAATCAGAGCCACGGAGGAACACTGCGTGCTGTCCCACTCCTTAGCTGACTGTCTTACAAAGCCCAGGTCCACTTGCCTAAGGAGAGTGCCACCTCAGTAAAGGCTTCTTCTCTAAGGTGGCTGACTCTAAGCTGTGTTAACTTGACAATTAAAGCTAGCTAGGGAAATCCACTTGTTGACTTGAAACACACGCGCGCGCGCACACACACACACACACACAAACACACACACACCACTATTAATTCCTAACTTCTCCTTTCCTACCACCAATATCTCAGGTAATATCACAATATAAAACATGGTTCAACTTTAAAAAAAAAGTCATAGTCTTAAATTGTTCTGTGATATTTAAAAGTACAATTCTCTTCAAAAAGCCAAAGTCTCTCAACTGGAGTATCCTGAAAATCAAAAACAACTTAACTACCTTCTTATTCTGAGTGGGAAAAAGCAGGGAATAGGAACAATCAGATCAGAGAAAAAAAATCCAAAGTCTAACCATGTAAATAAAATTCTATAGCTCAGTGTCCAATATCTAGGAGTCACCCATAGCGCTAAAGGGTTTGGCAGCCAACTCTCCAATGCTGCCACTAGCAGCACACACAGCTTGTCTGGTGAGATCCAGTCAGCTTCACACCTGCCACTATCCTTGATGAACGAACCACAGCCCTGGCATCTGCAATACCCTTTGGTTCCCGCTGCAAATGACATTGCACCGTTATCAGTAACCTCTCTGGAGGCACCAGGCCTCAGATACTCTCCTGGCCCCCTCTGTCCTACTTCTTTCATGCCTTCGAAAGCAGCACTTTGTGAGACACTTCTTACACGCTGCCTATTTTGACTGTCACATTGCCGTGTAGCCTTGGCCACCTTATGTTACAGCTTCTGTGTGCTAGGCCTGAGGAGATACTTTCCTGTTGTCCTGATGATGCATAGAAGAGTTCACCCCAGTGGTGCTCATCTCTTGTTAGCCACAGCTGAACCAGCAACTGTAGATTCTTAGTCTAAAATATCACAAGACTGACGAAGTCTTTACTTCCTTCTGAAACTTCCTAAGCCCTGCAGGCCCCTCCTATTGTCTACATTTCTCACCGCATTCTCGAGCCCAAAACGCTCTGAACACTCAACAGCTTTTCCAGCTCAAAAGTTAAACTCTCCCAAAATCATCAGGTTATCACAACAACAGCATCATTTCTCCAGTAGCAACTTTGTCCTGGTTTGAACTCTGTTACTATAGTGAAACACCATAACCTCAATCATGTTAGGGAGGAAAGGGTTGTTTGGCTTACATATCCAGGTCACGGCCCATCACTGAGGGAAGCCAGGGTATGAACTCAATCAGTAACCTGAAGCAGAAACCATAGAACATGCTTGCTGCCTTGCTCCCTTGATCATTTTCTGAAACAACTGTGGGCTGGGCCTTTCCACGTCAATCATCAATCAAAGCAATCCTTCCCAACCATGGCCACATGCCCAACTGATCTAGGTTATTCCTCAGTTGAGGTTTCTCCTTAAGATGACTCTAGATTGTCTCAAGTTGACAACTAAAACTAACCAAGAGAGGTATATACCTAGGAATTGTATTGCTGGATCATATAGCTAAGCTAATTTTAGTTTTTGAGAAAGCCCCACACTGACTTCCAAAGTCACTACACAAATTTACTATCTCACCAACCTCCTGCACATATAAATAGTAGTAATTCAAAAACAGCACATAGTAGAAGTAAATAGAACAGGAGATCCAAAAATAAATCTACATAGCTATACCACCTAATTTTTGACTAAGTTATCGAAGCCTG